AAAGGATCACCCACGGCGGGTGCCTGTGGCCTACCCACGATGGATAGCCAGTTTGTATGCGCTGCGATGCAGGTTGGTTCGCAAAGCGAGCTCGGTCCAGCCACTCTTTCGTGTCATAAGTCGAAACATCTTTACTGCCGTCCTGTCTTTCGGATTTCGCGAGGCAGGTGATTTAATCTTGTGCATTAGGGCGCTTACTCGACAGCATTGCTCGCTCGCATTTGCCGTTTGCGTAGCAGCTAGTCTCTCTCCTCTCTTTGATTGTGCTCCAGTCTCACTTCCATAATAGCCTGGCATTGTTGCTGGTAGAACATGGGTGTTGGACACCCTTGCCTGAGATCTTTATTTGAGTTTCAAAATCCGTATATCGGTGAGAAACATCGTCGTAGTATTTGTTACATGTGGCCCCATCCCGGCCTTTCGACCGCCGGCTGATTCTCTTGTAAGATGCATTATCGGCGATCGTTATTTCTTTGCCCAAGATACGTGAAGGCGATGAGACTTCTTCAATGATTGATTCCATCTCATGCATAAACGATAGTCGTTTGTATAGTTGTTTTTCATCCTTTGGTTTTTCCCCGATGTATTATAGCAAGTCCGACGGATGTGGGAGGCCTTCGCTTGCAAAATATTGAGGGAGCTTTCGAGTGCACTCGGTTGCGCTTCGCAAATCAGAGAACGTATGTCGTCTGCAAACATCAGTATTGAAGTCTTTCGCGGCATCTATCTCACAGTGCCACAAGGCAGCTCTAATTTGCCGCATTACAAGTTCTAAGCTGGGACAGAGAATAGTTTTGGACGAGATAGACCTCGCGCATTGCGTACGCAGTTGGATCTTTACACGAACTGGTTCTTTGAGCCATTTATGTGCAGTGTAGCAGCTGCGGTTAGGCTTAGTCGTATTATTTGCAATATATCTTCTTGAAATTCCGGAACGTGACAAGTGCGTTTATGTAGCGCTTGGTGTTTGGAGGAACGAACCGTGTCAAATGCCTTTTTGAAGTCAACCAAAAAAGATAAGCATAGCGGGATTCGGTACTCTCGACCATGGCTTTCCGTAAGTTGAGAAATCACGTGTATCTGAGTCGATGTTGAAAGCCTTCACCGAAATCCGCTTGTTTCTGCTTCTCGTAGTTTATATGTGAGTGTTCCACTTATGCGGTTGAGATGATCGTGAAGTTTTGATGTTGTTGGACACGCTATAGGATCGATAGGTTGGCCGCGTGGTATCCACGCGGTCGCTTATTTTGGTGGATCAAATGGTGTTCGGAGCTCTGTGTGTCGCCATTCGCTTTTGGTACTAGTTCCCGCACGCCCGAGCATTTTCCGTGAAAATGTCTGCCAATATGGGCTGGGCGATGAAACTCTCTTCAGACAGCTTAGGCGCGTATTCGATCTGGCCCAAAGGCGCTCTTCCTCCTTTTCGTCTGTTGAATAGCCTTCATACTTCCCGTTTCAAGGTACGCTTTCCACCCATCTCTTGCAAAGTGTGTCATCGTCGTCCTCACAAATATTATGTTAGGGTTGGGGCACCAGGCAGCTTTTATGGAGAAGAGGTCTTGGAAAAAGTTTCGAAAATTTCTGGCCTTCATTCCCTTTTTATTCGCTGACAACAAGAGGCCATCTTCTTTTTGAGATATTGTCAGGAGTAGTGGTTTTGAGTCGAGTGTTGATGAATGTTCTTTTGATGCTCGTAAAATTTTTCAGCCGCTTCTGCTTGCCTACCTTGCGCCATATTCACGGATATTCTTTCTCACTCTAATAGGCGTATAGCCCTTGTTTTAATATAGTTCTAGCCACAGGAGTCATAGTTTTTCCCCAAATTCTTTCGCGAGTGGCCAATCATTTGCTAGTGTAGTACGGCACTTAATGCGTTCCGAGGTCTGCTTGCGAGACGCGCTTCTGAAGCATTGTTAAGCTACAGTCCCCCGAAAATAGTAAAATGCACTTTTCTGTATGCGGTGCTGTGAACATTTCCCTGTTCTGAAGAAAAGTTTGTTCGTGGAAGCGAGCGCTTTTAGTCCGTTCTTGCAGAAAGAGCACATATTGAGCACGTTGCGAAATAGTAAAGCAGCTTAATCGTCTCCTTTCTTCTCTGATGCTTTATTGGCTACCTGTGGGATTCGAACTAAAACGCAGGTTGGTTAAAGAAGAAGTCGATTTCGTGGAACATCTGCCTGTTCGGGGTATGGTATGTCCAGCGACAGGGGGCTCCTACACGCTTTTGGAAATATCGAGTTTGCCACTGATAATCGACTTCATTCGCTGAATTGTGCTAAAGCCTCTCCTCTGGCTTGTTTCTTTCCAGTATTCCGTATGGCTCCTATATAGGATTCCATCAGGTTCTCCCGCATCCTAAGTTGGGCATTGAAGTCTCCAGCGCATACCACATATGTTTTCGCTTTTGAGTAGTGGCAATTGGGGCATTTTCGAGTGCGTCGTAGGAACTCTTCTAAACTGCTTCATCTTCGTATGTACTGGTTGAGGGCCTATAGACGAGCAGTATTTTTTCATCGTCTTCTTTTGGCCTAGTTCGAGGCATTAGAAATCGGCAAATTCTTTCAAGACACCTACTTCGGCGCGAATAGGCCATAATCGCTTTGCAGTGAGACGTGGCGACATAAGCAATGAATTCCGACTCCTCCGACTTTTCCGTTTCCTTGAGTCCAGCTCGCCTAGGATCACTTCATGTCCAGTGTGCCAACTCCATCTTCTGCATTGCATCTGTAACGTTTCTTGGAACATGGCTACGATCAATCCCGCACACCTGGTCCCATTTCAGAATACTTTAAGCTGATCGATCACTAGTCGTTACACTGAGACGCTCCTGAGGCGTTTATTGTTCGGCAATGTTTAGGAAACTGTATTGGCGAGTATCGCTTTCGTGAGATTTCTCCCACCTCTGCCTTTGCCTCATAAACTGCCAGGAAGGGCGGTGGCCGCCACGGACTGAGGGGTAACTCTTCTTGAAGCTTCACTCATGAGATGTTGATTGGCCTGGACTTACCCTCACCGCCTAGGGCCATAACTGGGCGGTAGTAGCCCGGCTGGGCCGGTGGGCGGTAGCCCCTGTCCAGAGGGGCCGCGTTTTTAGCGGCTCACTCAATCGCGTCGCTGTTTCGGGCAACAACAACGGGCAGGTAAGCATTGAGTGAGTTTACAGTCGCAATCCGCCCACCACTTTGAGGTATACGGGGGCTAGGGATGGACATACTTACATACATACATACAAACCGACAAACCACACAGCTAAGAAGTTTCGTGACTTTATAGAAAGGGAAGGATAAACCACACCCGCGGCGGGCGTGGCCAGCTAGGGCAAGGCTTCGATGGAGCGTGTGAGGGTCCGCTAAAGTTGTGGCTGCAAATAGATATAATAGACGGGAAGCAACCGTTTGACCAAGTAAACGTCCCTAATTGTCTTCAAGGTGGGGCTTACATGTTGATTTCATTGAACTATACGTAAGACCTGATAACGCACTTTTTCGCCTTCTGGCGCTAATGTATATACTTTGCAAAAAGCATAAATTCCAAATCTAAAGGTTAATTCATCCCCTCTCGAACTTCTTAGTTCAAGGCAGTAGGAACCCACAAGCTGTTTAATAAGAAGGAAATTATCGTCTCCAAGCTCAGGAAAAAGCGCTGAAGCCTAATTATATCCGCCCACGTCAAGGCCCTCGCCCTATTTTGGCCACGCCCACGCGGGTATCGAAGTACACTCACCCGAGAAGACACATGCGTGTCGATCGTCAATATGTAGCCTCTGATATGTACCGCATGCTCCGGGAAGATGATAGGAGGCTTCTTAGACGATGTGATCTAGGCGCTATCATTTTCCGAATTCGCACTTGAAGTGGAAGACGCGGAGCTTCTTCACAACTCGTTTATGGGTAGGTTTAGTTTTCTGAGGCTCGATGATGCTGCTGTATTTGAGACGTTTCTCACCAAGAAAATGGCTTGAACTTCCGAACTCTGTATAGACATAGGTTACATCGAGTAGAGCCTCGAATGCTGATTACCGAATATGCAGATTAAAAAAGTGCTACGGAGACCTCCCAGACGAGATCTGGGTGGTCAAAGTTTGAGTTCTGGCTCCGTAAGCGCTGCTGATGCGATGCCTCGCCCAGCGTGGCGTCGTGGTAAGGTCTCGCTTCAAGTCAAACGCATGCGGTTTTGCCTCCGGTTGGGCGCGAAAGGTTTTTGCTTCGCTCCGTATAAGAGCTTCAACTCCTAAGTTTCGGGTTCTTCCGAATTTACGGCCCAGCAGGGAAGTAGATCAAGTACATCGAAGTATACGGCATACTCGATGCTAGTATGGATTTGGTCATATCTGCCCTCTCTGTGAACATATTACCTCCATCCGACAATTCAAAGTTTTGGGCGAGAAGTTCGTTCATGGATATTTTCGACCCCTGAACACGAAATATCCATCCTTCGGCGAAAAAAGCTCGTCTGGCCATAATTGAGATTTCTGGGCAAAACTTCGAATTGTCGGATGGGTTATATGTTCAGAGAGCGCAGATATGACCGAAATCCATACTAGACGATATGTGCGGTATACTTGATGTACTTGATTTACATGCCCTGCCGGGCCGTAAATTCGGAAGAATTTCTAAAACTAGAGTCGAAGCTCTTATACGGAGCGAAGCAAAAGTTTTCGCGCCAACCGGATGCAAACCCGCATACGTTTGACTTGAAAGCTAGACCATTTCCACGACGCCACAGTGGCACTGCCGAGGCATCGATCAGCAGCGCTTAAGAGTCAGAACCCTAACTTTGACCACCCAGATGTCGTCTGGGAGGTCCCCATAGCACTTTTATCCCCATAGCACTTTTAATCTATATACTCGTAATCAGCAATCGAGGCTCTATCGAGGTACCTAGGTTTCCATTCAAAGTTCCATGCGAAGTTCAAACCATTCCCTTGTCAGTAGTTTCGAAGCGGTGCAACAGTGGCGTTGCAGCAACAGAAGATTTGAGTGTGCCTTGAAGCGTCGTACCTAGTTGCGTCCTGGTGGCGTGCTTGCTGATATGTCATAGTGTTTCTTCAGGATCTTCACGGCTACAGGATACTCTCCCATAACTGGGATGCTGTTGTTTGAAGCAGCTGCTTTTCCTTTGAGAGCCTGCTTCAAGAATTCGAACTTTGCCTGGTCGCTCAAGTCGCTGTCGTTGTGAATGAGCGACTCGAAGACAGACCACAATGTGCTGAAATCCCTGTAGTTTCCTGCGAAGGTAGGCAACTCCAGTAGTGGGCGTCTGACTAACGTTGCGTTCTCGTGGAGTCATTGCACTGATTAACATTTCTTGTCAGTTGCTGGCACCACTGCTGACAGACTGGCTGTTGGCTGCTCGAGATGTGGTCAGCAGAGCGGTTTGTTGTAATAATTCCTCTTTCCTGAAGTCGATTCTGGTCAGCCATTGTACGACGGAAATCCGCTGGATTCAGCCTATAGATGGCTATTCAGGTCTTGCATAAGCTTTTCTCGTTCTTTGCGCTCCTTCCGCGCATTGATCGTTTCGATGGCTTCCTTGACCAAAGCCATGGAACTGCTTTGCTGCGTTTATTGTTCTGGAGAGACGATTCAGTTGTGTTGTTTTCTCTCCAATATAAGACTTGCATCCTCCAGTTATGAAGGGAATGCGAAGGCTTGATCAAGCTTGCTGACGTCCAGCTCATGAGATTTAAGCGGGGCGCAACATTTGTGATCTTTGTCGTGAACACTTGAATTCCGGCCATTTTCCTAGGTTTGGCAACTGTTCAGCGTCAATTGGCATGTTTTAATTATTAATTATTATCATGTTTTGATTTAGAGCTTTACAACGGCTTTTGGTTCCGTTGTAGAATTGCTCCTGCCACGCGGGTCTTTCTTCGATCGGTCTTGGGTTCCTCGTTTAAGGACTCGCGCAAGACTTGATTTTTCACCTTCTGGTTCCTCGGTCGAGGCTGTCAGAGAAGGTTCTTCCTTTTATCTTGAGGAGGAACTCCGGTTTCCTTGTGGTTTCTCTTGAGAGATCTCCTACCGAAGAATGTGTTCTGCTCCCCGGACTCTAATGAAGAAGCCACTGAGAGAGTGTAGATTCGTTTTTCAGGTTCCTTCAGAGAGGACTCGCAATGAAAAGCTTTTTTCTTCGAGTAGGCTTCCTTTGGGTTTTTCCGAGGAGAACTTGCCAAAGGAGTAAAGTTTTGTTTTTTGGGTCCCTCTGGAGAGGATTCGCAACAAAGAACTGTAGAAGGGAGGTAGTTCACGTCCTTCGGGTTTCTCCGGAAAGAACTCGCTAAGAACGAGTAAGGTGAGCTGACTTTTCTGATTCCTCCCGAGAGGACTCGCGGGACTCGCGAAGAAAAGCAGGGATTGTAGAGTTATTCCAAGGTTCCCGCCGTTTGTTGTGAACAAATAATGACATCATTTGTGGGAATGGCGACCTAGGCAGCGCTTCAGTCCACGCCCATCAAACGCCCTGTATATCGCTTATAATCTCGTCGCTTCTTTTTTGACGCCAGTCCGACATTCCGTGCCATATTGCCATCACTAGCCCGATCTTTTTTTCACTCCGATCAAAACTTGAGTCGGGAATCGTGTTCGATTTAGCCTCCTCTAATCTTCAGATTGAACCTTCGTCAACCTGTTTTTGTAGTAGTTTCCGTCTTTGATTTCAACCGAAGACGGAAACTACTATTGAAGAATCTCGGCAAAGGAAAAGGTACGGAAGGTGGAAACTACTATTAAAGAATCTCAGCAAAGGAAAAGGTACGAAATGTTGGAGCTGGTAACAATGGTTTTAGCGGTTCATCGATTTTACTGGCACTGAAGCGCGACTCAGTGGTAGCGCATCGATGCAAAGTATGAACTCAGCTTAATCGATGGACAGCTATGAGGCTTTGAAGAAATTCCTTTTCTGACTGGATGAGATAACATCGATTCATTTATTGGCAGTGTAGTCTGGTCGGTTGCATCCGGTTTGGGAACGGGGCACACCATCAGGCCCTGGAATGTTTTAAAGAAAGCCCCTCACCCCCCCCCCTATCGTTGTACTCTGGTATGTCTTCAGTCTGTGCTGTGCTAGCTTTCCCCTCCCATCCTCACCACCACCACCTTCCCAACCACTAACAAAATTTTGGCGTTATGAGAGGGGTGTCGCAGTTCAGAGAGAGACCGCTTTATTAGTCCTCTCCACGACGCACATCGGTGTTCAAGGGTCACGCTTACACCATCAGCCCAACTCAGTCTCACAGTTCGCCGGGGACTATATTGCTTTCCCGCACGATATAGCCTCGGTTCCCCGGAGGACCATCCGGGCCTCAGCCCGTGGCAGGCTGCAGGGAACGGCAGCCCATGAACGCTAATATCCACATGGTACTATGGTACATGACTGCTTTACCCTGCTGAGGCATGCAATAACCAAACAACAGAAATATAACAACCAATAACCCATACTTATAACCGACCAAACCTCCCAAGCCTTACCAGCACCTTAAGGGCCCACATGCCCTGTCGCTCCCAAGTCCCACCTATTGCAAACATTAAAGGCACATTCCGCGATAAAATAAGGCTATGACCTCTCAAATGTGTCGGACGATCCGGAAGGCAATTTTTGAGGCTGCGCTACTTTCAAAATGTGGAAAACGGCAAAACTCCGCTAGAAGCTGACTAATTAGGCCCATGGACACCCCTTAGGCCCATGCCGACCCTCACCGGCTGCTACCTACTAGCTAGTAGCCACTATCCTATCTTTCTCTATACCGTTTCGGACTGCTCTTTCTGCTGCTTTTCTCCGCTAATCAGATACTTAGCAGTTTTTTTGCGTCTATTTGAGTTCCGTTTCCCGCAATTTGCGGTCGCGAACTGTGCCTTTGAGTAAACTTCATAATTATTGACTCACGTGTTAGCAGTAACCATCTTCCAACTGTCCTCATATCCTGCCATAGCTGGATTGACCAACCATCTTCCAACTGTGCAGCGGTAATCCTAGCGGTAAATGGCGCTCTGCGGCTATAAGCTGCAACCTGCAGCTGGCCGTGCCTTCGGGTCTTAGCAGGCACGGGCCAGAGCCGGAGCTCCGCAAGACGGAGCAGTGTGCCCGACCACACTGCTGTGCAAGCACCCTGCCAACAGTCCGGCATCATGTCGGCAGAGCGGTTGCCCGGCGGTTCTCTCCACCTGGAGGGAGAGAAGCGCACCGAATGGCTGCTGGCCTCCCCTTATATAGGCACCACTGGTTGCGGGGCGGCGGCACGGCCTACGGCGGTCGCGTCGCGGCTTCGCTCGTGTAGCGCGCCAGAGCCCAGGCGCACGGTATCCCGGCCACGTTGTCGCGAACCGCGACAAGGGGGAGGATGGTGATAAATACCTCCGATTGACTCTCATAAATGAAAAAGCAAGATACAACTCCTAGCTCCAACAGCAAAATACCACCATAAGCCTGTTCTATACAGCAGATGGTGAGCCCTGTTTGGGAATCGCTGGAGTCGCGAAGATGAGCGCGGCTTATGCTTAGGCTGCCATACTTTGCTGTAGCGTCCACCAGCGTCTGGAGGGCTAGGAAAGTAAAGGTATCGATCTAGCGCTGCCAGCGTCCACCAGCTGCTCTGGCAGACGCTAGGTCGATACATTTACTCTCCTAGCCCTTCAAACGCGGTGGACTTTGGAGGACGCTGGTAGCCGCTGGTGGACGCTGGCAGACGCTAGTACGATATCTACACTTTTCGTTGCCGGTCAAGGAACTCTGACGGATGCTATTGGTGAACGCTGCCGCAAAGTATGAACGCAGCCTTACGGCGCAGAAGATCAGAGTTGCTCAGAGAATGTCATGCATTAAAGATATTGTCTTCACTATGCCCAACAAGGGAAGGATAGTAGGTCGAAGTGGCCATTTGAAATGAAATGTATACAGACTGAAAGGTCTTCGGACAGAGATTACGAAACCGTCTTCCATAGCTGCTGCGGATCTCCCAAAAACAAGTTACGGAGCTTTTCAGGGGGAGTAGGGGGAGAATGTTCGCATTTACCACGAACTGAAGGTTAATGCGATCGTGACAGCATGGCCGAGCGGATACGTCGTAGGGTTCATGGATGGGTGGGGTATGGATCCTTGATGCGTGTGCTCTTGCACTTTTTCGAAAGTGGTCTCTGAGCACTTCAAAGCTATTTTGCATAACTCTCGTCCCTGATGATGTCATGGCGTAATGATTCTGAACTGATGGAGCGAACGATTCCATGGAGAACATTCTCTGGCTGTTGTCTTCTTCTTTCTTCGATTTGGAAGCATACACAACAAAAGTGCATTCCTATGAACGACTTCGCCTTAAAATGACTTTATCCTCCAAATGACAAGAAAGGGAAACGAATCCGAAGCCGCGCAAAGTTGTGCACGAAGATGAGTATAGTGGGAAAATGCTTTCATATGAGGTGACGTTGATGTGGCAAAAATGCGGGAGATCGCGATGGGCAAAACCTTCATTCATTACTCACATAGTGTTCGAAGATGCCTATCGCAAAGTGGTTTCGCACCTGCTGGAAGTTTTTGGCTCGTATGACAATCACTTCAACCAAAAGTGATCTCTATGAAATCGTTCTCAATGGCTCCATCAGTTCAGAAACATGACTTGTCAGGCCCAAGAGTTATGCAAAATAGCTTTGAAGTGCACAGAGACCACTCTCGAAAAAATGCTAAAGAGCACTCGCATTAATATGAATGCGCGACCAAGGGATCTGAACCTTTGGCTGCGCATTCATGAACCCGATGGAGTATCCAGTCGGCCATGCTGCTACAATCGAACTGGCATTACGCCGCTAATTCGTAGTGAATGCGAATATTCTCCCCCAAAACCCTCCGTAACTTCTTTCTGGGAGGTCCGCAGCAGATATGGAAGACGGTTTCGTAATCTCTGGTATACATTTCATTTCAAACGGCCACTTCAACCTACCGTCCTTCCCTTTGTATGGGCAAAGGGATACATGGGAGCAGTCCCCCCCCCCCCACCGCCTTTCCCATTTACCATGACGCACGTTTTTCAATTTGTGCTTTGTAAAGTAGACGACAACCAAACAAAAATAGCGGAATGTCTCGTTTTGTCGTTTCATCTTTCAAACACTTTATAATATTGAATCCCAAAATGTCCTGACTCTACTGATGGCTTTGCGCTGACGTGCTGACCAAAATTATTAGTGGTATTTGAGTGGGGATCTACTCGTGTATTATTTAGAAGTCAATGAGTTCGACGCAGATAGGAGGACTTCCAAGTTCATGTCTCTAATCAAATGGTCACCTTGAGAGTCGAGTGTATTTTACTTCCCTGTCTT